ATTACTGAATAGTAGTATAAGCTTATATTCTCTGCCTGTGAGAAAGCTTTAAAATTAGCAATTGACTATTTTAATCGTTTAATAAAAATAGTTCCTAAATCCGAATAAAATATGAGATATAATTCTACCAGTTTTAAAAAATGTGGAGGTATTAAAATTCCTAAAAATGACAGAATTAAGGGAAAAGACTCTGATTTACATATATATGTATAATTTTTATATGATCCATAATAAGAATATTTAGCAAATGCTGGTTGGTGTTAATTTTTGGACATTCTAGGACCTACTCACGGTGATGTTAACTTTAATTTAAGTAGTTTATAAGGCAAAAAATGGGATGATCCAATTGAATTCAATAATTTAATCGAAATAGTTATACATGAAATAACTCATATTTTGGGTTTTAGTTATACAGATATACCAAGATGGGTTACTACTGATAAAACTCCTCATATTAAACCTACTTTCAAAAAAAACTTAAGGGGAATCGATACTTTATTTCTCAGAACTCCTAAAGTTTTGGAGTTTGCTCGATAATATTTTAATTGTCCTACCTTAGATGGTATGCCTCTTGAAAATATAGGAGATGATGGTTCTGTAGGATCTCATTGGAAAAGCACAGTCATCGAAAACGAATACATGAATGCATCTGTATCAAATACTTAAGCCTATTATAGTGGTTTTACAGCGAATCTTTTGAGAGACACAGGTTTCTATGATGAAATAAATGAATCTATGGTAGAAAAAATATTCTATGGATAAGGAGTAGGTTGTCAACACATCACTGGTTAATGTGATTCTAACAGAAGAGAATATTGTGAACCTGAAATCGATGATTAATTATGTGATTATTACCATCTTGGAGCTTCAGAATGTTCTAAAGGTTAATATAATGAACATAATTGCATACATTTGAAATTTACGAAGATTCGAAATGCTGGAATATTAAAAGTTAACTTAATACCAAAGATAATCAGGAAAATTTGGGCGTAAAATTTGGAATTAATTCCAGATGTTTTAACAATTCTTTATTAAAGGAAAAAAGCTAATAATAAAAAATAGCATAACAGGAGAATGTTATAAATATGAATGTAAATCTAACGGATAATAAGTGACCATTTATGTTGGAAAAACTAAAGTCACATGTACATAAAATTTGTAAAGATTGAAGGTTAATGGATATAGTGGAGAATTAATATGTCCTGATAATATAGCCTAATTTTGTGGGTTTAAAAATTTTTGTCCTAATTTCTGTAATTCAAATGGATATTGCATTAATAATTAATGTTATTGCGCTAAAAATTATTTTGGAAAAGAATGCAATTTTAAAATTCCTTTAACAAAAAAATGAGTATTTTTGAGATTATTTTATTAATAAAAAAAATAAAAAATTGTTTTTTTATAGAAGTTATATTTTAAAATTTAAATTATTAAATTCATTTTTTTTATATAATATATAAAAATATATATATTCAAAACTAATAATATAATTTTAAATGTAAATTTAATATAATAAAAAAAAATTAAATTTTAAAAAATAAAGTAATTATTTATTTATCAAATAAAAAATATAAATATATATTATTTTATTTTTATAATTATTAAAAAAACCTAAATTTTATTTTTTTACTTATAATAATTTTTTATTATTATTATTATTATTCTATATTATGCTTTGTTTTTTCTTTATTAATTAAATGCTCTTTATTTCAATATATAAATTATTAAATTTTGTTTATTTTTTAAAATTTATCATTCTATTTTAATCTAAAACTTATTCTTAACAAATTTTATTTTGTATTTTTTTAATATTAATTAAATTAGATTTTTTTTAATTATTAAAAATATAAAAAACTGAAATTTATAAATTAATTAAAAATTTTATATTTTATTTATTATAATATTTTATCAAATAATTAACAAATATATTTTTATATAAATTATTAATTTTTCTTTATTAAATTATTAAAATGAAAAAGCATTATAATTATTTAAAAGTTTACTATAGAAATAAAAAAATTATAAATATTAATTATTATCTATAAGCATAAGAAGATTTTAAAAATTTATATATTTTATTTAAATAATAAAAACTAATATATCTTTTAAAATATATAAATATCTTTATGTATATATATATTTTTTTTAGTCTATTATTTTTTTTTTTATTATTTATAATAATAAAAACAAATTTAAAAATTAATATATTTCATAATAAATTATAATTAAATCTTTATAATTATTTTAAATTATTATGTATTTTTTAAAAAAAATAAAATAGAATAAAATAAAATAATATAATATAAAATTAAATAATAATTAAAAATTAGAAATTAAATTCTTAACATAAAAAAAAAAAATTATATAAATATTAATCAATCGTCTTTTTTATATATTAAAAATAATAATAAAAAAACAGTAATATTTCTCAAAAAGGATTTCTTAAACTGCAATCGCCTCCAAAGTATCCTTTATTACAAAAACACTTATTATTTAAACAATATCCGTTATAACTACAGAATTTTGGACAAATTTTTTTAAATTTGCAAAACTACACTATAATTTTAGGACATACAATACTTCCATTATATCCCTTAACTTGCATATATTGAAAATTTTTTGTGCAAACAATTTTTTATTTTCCTACATGAATAGTCACTTATTATCCGTTAGAACTACAATTATATTTATAGCATAAACCTTAAATTTTTGGATTATTCACATAATAAGTATTTTTACTAAGAAGAGTAAACATTCGAATCAACTCCATATTAAATTCCGTTCACTTCTATTAGTTATTTGATTGTTACATATTTTTAATATTCCAGCATTCCTTTTATAATTAAACATAATATGTATGACAACGAGATTCATTAAATTAACCAATAATACAATTTGAAGATCCAATATGGTGGAAATCACATTAACCTTATTCAGTTTTAGGAAGACAAAATTCATCTTTATAAGAATTACAATAATTATCAGTGAAGTGTTGACAGCCTACTCCTTTAGCATAGAGTATTTCTTCTCCCATAGATTCTTTTATTTACTCATAGAAGCCTGTGTCTCTTAAAAGATTAGCTGTAAAACCACTATAATATGACTATAAAGGTTATTAATATGAATTCATATATTCACTATTGATTATTATGTTTTTCCAATGAGAATTTACAAAATCTTTACCTAAATTTTCAAGAGGCATACCATCTAAGGTAGGACAATCAAAATATTTTCGAGCAAAATATAAAACATGAGGAGTTTTGAGAAATAAAGTATCAATTCCCCTTAATTTTTTTATGAAAGTAGGTTCAGTATAAAGACTTTTATCAGATTATATCCATAAAGGTATAGAGTGTTGTGAAAAACCCAAAAGATGAGTCGTTTCATGGATAACTAATTCTAATATATCTTAAAATTTTTAACTTAAATCTTTTTTTTCTAATTAATCCAAATTAAATGTAATTTAACCATGAGAAGGTCCTACCTTATACACAAATTAACAATTAGCAGCAAAGGCTAAAAAAGGTTATTTTGAATCATAATTATATTATACATATATATGGAAATCAGAATCTTTTCCCTTGTCTCTGTCTATTAAGGAATTGTAACTTCTCCACATTTTTTAATATTGGAATTAAATCTCATTTGTTTTTCAGATTTTGGAACTATTTTTATAAGATCAGAAAAATATTTAAATGCTGTTTTTAAAGCTTTCTCACAAGTTTCAATTATCAATTTATTTTTAGGATTTTTAGGTAAGTTTGAGAAATAGGACATATCGTAAGTTATAATCATATTACGGGACATTTTAGATTGTAAATTACGGATATCTGTATAATCATCATCAGGGAAGATTACATTGTAGGGATAGTTTTTTTACATTTAATCATGGACACATTAGTGTTAGAGTACATGTAAACCAAAAATACAAGTTAATTAAAATATATATATTATTAATATTTTCATTTATTATTAATAATGTTTTTTTAATATTAATATGTATTAATTATAAAAAAATTTTAAGATATTTATAATTAAGGATAAATTTATTTATATTTTATTTAAAAAAAATTATTTAAATATTTACCACAAGTTTTTTTTAAAAAAAAATTAAATTATATTATTATTTTATTAAAATTAAAATTAAAATTAAAAGTAAATATATATGAATAAGTATCTATTTAAATTAATAATAATTATTGATTATAGAAATTATAAATAAAAAAAGTATAAATAATATAAAATTTATTTTTTTGTATTAAATATAAATAAATTTAAAATTTATATTATTATTTTTTTAAAAAATTTTATATTTTTAATAATAAATAATATAGCAATTTGTATAAATAGAATATGTTATTATAATTTTTAAAATATTTAGTAAATAATAATATAAAAATTTCTAAAAATATATCTATTTATATCTAAATTTATAAAATAATATATTATTAAATAAATTTTATATTATTATTATAATAAAAAAGAAAAATATATTATAATAATTTACGTATTATTTAATATTTATAATATTTATAATATTTTTTTATAAATAAAAATTTTAATATATTAATTCAATAATATAT